GGAAACAGCTAGCCTGGCTTTTTCCAAAGATTAAAAATATGCCTATCAACACCTCTTCATTACGCTAATGAACACATCGTGTCTTGTTTGTTTCATCCGTACAAAAAGCAAAGTATAAAAATTTGCCCCCGTTTCCAAACTTAATGCTAAGCTAACAGGCTTCTTCCTCTATCTTCATATTCAACAGACACATATGAGTGTGGCATCAAACTTCTCATCTAACTCTCAAGAAAATGAATACAAATGTCAAATTATTCCTTGACGTGAACAAACAAAGCTATCGGCATCACGAGATACCAGTAGGGCTTTTTGTCATTTGGGTGACCTGGCCCTTTAAAATCTCTAGAGTGCAGACGATATACATATACCTCTGTTTGAGACAAAATATCTAGCTCTTAAAGAAAATAGTACTGAGAACATTACCTCAGCCATCCTTAATGGTACAGAGTGATGTTGATTATGTAGCTAATCGACTTTTTAAAATACCTTCCTGTAATTGTGTTAAACTTTCTGGCACCTGTTATATTTTCCTGTGTGGCAAGCCTCACCCATCTGGCGTCAGCGCGGGAGAAAAACCAACGACTACACAACCCGGGTCAACATACCACTCACCCAATATTCTTCTCTTCTTCCCTCACACATTCACATTTATTTACATTATGTAGACATTTTTGTACAATGAATAGATCATTCATATATGTTAGTATTCAACCATATTTACACAGAAATATACACACACACAGACACCATTGAAACAATCCATCATTCTCACAGTATTTGATTATTTCAGAAACCCTCACACACACACACACACACACACAAACAACCTACTCTGACTCTTCCAGTGGGGAAACTCCTCTCGATGAACGACAGAAACACAGCACTGAACTTGTAATTTATTGTTTGTACAACTGGTATGTGTGAATAAAAAAACAATGAGATGAGTTTTATTTATTATAGTAATTTTGTATCAAATTACTATTTAACTTAGGAATATGACTGTGCAGAATCATTCCTTTGTAAGAATATAGTGTTTCTTTTCTAGTCATCCACATGAATATATGTACATAAAATCTATATATTTAAATATCTTTGTGTGTGTGTTGTTCATTTCGTCATGGCATCAATACATGAGTGGTTAACCAGTCACCACCAGAACACACTCTCTGCGAAGTTGAAGTTGAGAAAGCAACCTTATTAGCGTCATAAACACATAAATGTCAGCGAATTTAGCAAACTGAAGATTCAAGATGGCTTCGTAATGCAAAAACAGCCCCTTATCTTCTAAATGTTGACTAGAGAGGTAGAAATGTAAACACTTATCTTTGAATCACTGCTGTTGCAGATGTTTTGTGGCCTTTTGCCTGAAGCAGTGGTGAAAGAAGTATTCTCTCCCCATTAAAATCAATAATACTGCTACTGTATGTAAATATACTCTGTTACAAGTAAAAAAAAACATTTTACTCAAGTGAAAGTACATTGAAAAAGTATAAATTTCTCATTATGAACACATTATGTCCCTTTAAGAGTGCTATATGTACAGTATATTATGGGGTTGTTATTGATGATACAAAATTCAAGTTGCATTTTAATGTAGCCAGTGAAAGAGTTTCTCATTTAACAACCATATATATCATTGGGAAGGTTGATCTATAAAAATGCTACATATTTAGTAACTGCCAGCTATAGCTGTCAGATGTAGTAAAGTAAGAATTAAAATATTTCTCTCTGAAACGTAGAGTTAAGTAGAAGAATAAATCACTATAATGAAATAAATACTCTGGTATCACCCGCCACTGGCCAGAAGATACATAAAAACATAAAGCAGAGGAACATTCCTTCCCCACCCTGTAAAATACACGTTGGTTGTGACTTTAACATTTATGATAAATATTCTGTTACAAAATGTTTAATTGCATTTTCTCTGTGGTTTTAGTTTCATGTCATAGTTTGATGATTAAAAAAAAAGACAGTATGGCACTTAACTGAGGTTCAAAATGGAATAAAAGCAGATTACAGCCAAAAAGCCTCAATTAAAAACCAACTGAAGGAGTTTGGTGGTTTGACAATCCATCCATTTAGTTACATATTGAACTGTCTTCAGCTTATTGACATAATGACACTTATTTACACATATTAAAAATGGAATATGAGCTTGCAGAAAGGATGTATATGTGGGTTAAAGTCAGGAAACTGCAGAGCTCCACTGCATCCAAATGTCACCTGGTTATCATCTCCTAATCCTGTAGTTCTGACAGGATCCTCAGGCAGAGGCTCTGTTCTCCACAGGTACATCACTGCTCCCTCCCTGTGGTCAGTGGCTCACAGCTTCCACCTTCCCAAGCTCCAAAATGTGACGCTGAGGCGCCACCTGTCGGTTAAAGACATACTTGGTAGAACTAGTCATGGAAAATCTCTGCTGCAGTCTGGGGAATTTCCTAAACTGCATGCCTACCATCTGCTGGGAGATTCAAACATTACAACGAGTCACTCTTTCTGACCTGTTGCTGTTAAGGTGGACTTCCATAATCTGTCTCCTCACAGACTCATCAGTGAGGGTTTTCTCCAGTGAGTAACAAGTTACACTGCAGTGGAAATGGTGCCAATGAGCTCTCTAGCGTCCATCTGAAGTCACTGTTATATTATTATGTGGTATTCTTACATTTTGATCACTGCTCTATCATTATTTCCAGAGATTTCCTGCAGTTTCAGATCTAGAATATATTCTGCCCTTCAAAGAAATAAAGGATTTTGTTAGTTCACCTTCCCTGAACAGTCTGAATTAATACATCTGTTTGCTTTGAATAGAGTTAACTCATTTGTGATGAGGCGCACTGCTGATAATAGGATTTCTGCTTTGCCAGTTATTTTTAATGAAACTCCAGCGTAAACTCTTCCTGTCTGTCGGGTAAGGGGGGGGGGACAGCGCGAGCGGGCGGGGTAGGATTGCGGAGGACGGGGGCTCTGTCTGCCTTGATTCGACCGCGGACGCAGCCCGGTGGAGAACCCGCTCCACCTTAAGACCTCAACGGCCCCTCTCTGCTCCCTCTCCCCGGGGAGCAGAGCTGCGGAACCCGGCCACGGCGCACCACAGCCGGCTTGGCACGGGGGGGGAAGTGAGTACGGTTCCCGGAGCCTTGGCCAGCACGGTATGGTTACCATTCCCGACCTGCTGCCATCTCCCTTCTCCAGTTGCACTGACACTACAACACTGCTCCACATCAGCCACTGCTGCCTGTCACCCTGATTTATGTTGGAATAGTTAAATAAGCGCTGTGTAGCTCAGTGATTGAGTTAGAAAGTAGAGCACTGCAACTGTGCCAGAGTGAGAGGTTTGGTTTTTATTCTGCCCACTCATGTCATAAATGTATACACTAATGGCACATGTCAGGGTGAAATGATACATTAGGCTCTATGACACATATAATAGAATATATTCTGTAATAATATCAGTGGGTTGTGAGTGTACATCTTGTGACAGACGAGCAGAGTTTGAAGAAGAAAACGCTCCTCTGCCCAGAGCTCTCTTTCCTCCACAATGGTTGATTATTATGGCAACGCTCCAGCTGCGTTTTCGTTGCGCACGGATTTGGCCCCTCTCAGATCAAAGGGCCCTCAGGAAAGGGGTGGTCCCGAGGCAGGGGGATATATAGGAGGGACCGGCTCTGTTCTGACTGCAAGGCAAGAGCAGAGAACAGACTAAAGCGGGCCAGCAGAGGAAAAAACCTGCCCCCGAACTCAAAGAGAGAGCTAGAAACTGAGACATCTGCTGAGTTTTGGAGAGAAAGAGACCTGTTGGAATTTACTGCCGACATCCAGATTTTATTTTCATTTAATGAAAGGACTTTTTTTGCTACAAGTCAGACCTGCACATAATAACTTTAAATGAGTTTTGCACTGGATTTGATCCTTTTTTAGGTTTTTATGCGTGTGCGTAATTTTGGGGACAGTTTTTGTGGAAGTTCAAAGACTTGGGGTTTGTAGCTTATAGTGGAAAACCTTTTAAAGGATTTACTTGCTTCCTCGTAGAGACTTTATTATCAATTTCTATTTCCACTTGTTGGATTTCAGTTAAATGATGTTGTTTTTACGTTGCGTTTCCATTGGTTTAATTGCCGCTCTGTGCGTTGGCACGGCGCACAGCGCCTGGGAGGAGAGCACAGTGGTGCCGGTCAGACTAGACCCGACGGCCCGGTCGGAGAGCGAAACCGAACCATGGCGGACTCTCTCCGCAGAGGAGAAGGAGAAGGAGGCGGAGATGAGGGAGTACCGGTTG